GGTTTTATAGCGCCGCACCTGTGCATGCTGGAGTCTGTGGGCAGCACGTGGCGTCGAGTGCTGAGATGTCGGAGGTGTTGGAGCAGTTTTTGCATCGAGTTGTTGCTTTATTAATCACGTCCCTGGACAGTATTTATGCCTTTAAAGTGCCCTTTATGAAGAGTTTTGAACAGTTAAAGATGTTTTTTTCTTACTTTTTTATGACCTCCGGAACGTATTAATTGGTTTTCAATGCATTTACGAATTAATTTTTAATCATGTCCCTGTACAGTATTTATGCCTTTAACCCCTCGCCCTCCTGAGGATATACCCCCCTTAATGACCACGCCTCTTTTTGCTACTCGGCGCTGCACTAATTCAACTGATAATTGCGCGGTCATGCAATGCTGCACCCAAACGAAATTTACATCTTTTTTTTCACACAAATAGAGCTTTCTTTTGGTGGTATTTGATCGCCTGTGCGCTTTTTATTTTTCACGCTATAAACAAAAAAAGACCAAAAATTTTTAAGAAAAATTATATTTTTTACTTTCAGCTATAAAAAATATATAGTAAACTCAAAGTTGGTTATAAATTTAGGCCAAAATGTATTCTGCTCCATGTTTTTGGTAAAAAAAATCCCAATAAGTGTGACAGTTATAGCGTCTACAAACTATGGTATAGATACTGCAATTTACGCCATTTTTTTTGCTATACAGCGCTGCGCTAGTTTAATGGACAATTGCGCGGTCGTGCAATATGGTACATAAATGAAATTTATATCCTTTTTTTTTCCCACAAATTGAGCTTTCTTTCGGTGGTATTTGATCTCCTGTGCGGTTTTAATTTTTTGCGCTATAAAAAAAATTTTGACAAAAAAAACAATATTTTGGACTTTTTGCTATAAAACATGTCTAGTAAAAAAAAATTTAAAAAATCAAATTTAGTCATAATTTACTGCCAAAATGCATTCTGCGACATGTCTTTGCTACAAAAAAAACCCAATACATGTAAATTAATTGGTTTACGTGAAAGTTATAGCGTTTGCAAATGGCGGGAAAGATACTGGGATTTAAAATTTTTTTTTTTATACTAATAATGGTGGCGATCAGCGACTTATGGCGGCGATCAGTAACTTATGGCGGTGATCAGCGACTTATGGCGGGACTGTGGCAGACATTTTGACTTTGGGGGGTACTGACTTGGGGTCACTGACATCCCTAGTGACACTAATACAGTGATCAGTGCAAAAAAAAAACACTGACACTGTACTAATGGCACTGGGGAGGAAGGGGTTAACTTTATTATTCAGTGAAAGGGTTGACTGTGTGAGGGGGAGTGTTTTACTAGGGGGCGGGGTGTGTACTGCAGGGAACACCGCTGATCGGGACAGAGAAACTCTTCTCTCCGGCTCAGCATGTCAGGAGCTGTCAGGGAACTGACACAAAGCACAGCTACTGCAGCCTTCCTCTCTGTCACTGATTGCCCCCGATCGCCGAGACATAGCCGGTATTGACCGGCTGTGACCCGGCGACTGACATCCGCGGCCGTGATCGGCGGGACAGGTAGGGCGGCGGCGCGCCTCGCGCACGCCCCCTACCTGTTTTAAAAAACACACGTTTTAAAACGTGGTTTTGCCACGCCGTGCCGCCCTGCCGCCGTATTTCTACAGCGGCTGGGCGGCATGTGGTTAAAGTGCACTTTATGAAGAGTTTTGAACAGATAATAGATTTTTTTTAAACTTTTTTCTGACCTCCGGAACGTATTATTTGGTTTTCAATGCATTCCTATGGGAAACCGCGTTTCGGTTTACAAATTTTTTGCAATACAAAACGACCCGGCGAACGCATTAAATTCATAAACCGAGGTACGCCTGTACCAGTAACTCACGGGGATATGGCGCTAGGCTGGTGCACCTTTCTTTCTTTCCTTTGATCTTCTGCAGTACTGCTGGAGTCGCAGGAGGGCAGCAAGGCCTCAGTATCCCTGGACATGGGTTCATGGGGGTTCCTGTCGGTTCTCGCTGGTTCATCACACCCACACACAGGAGGAATTGTTTTATTTTGGTATTAGAACGTAGTGCTCATCCCGTCACTGGAGGCAGAACAGAACATGCTGGTGCATTGTGCCCCCCCCCCCCCCCCTTCCCACCACAGAACAGATAGCAACAGGTCATACCACTTCTCGTATATAAAGTGAGTGCGCTGTACACTAAGCAATCAAATGAAAAATCTAAAACCCAATATATGCAAAAAATATAAATAAATGAATAATAATATGACAAAAAATATATTGCTAAAGTGCTATAAAAAGGTCCAAATTCATAAAGCGAATAAACAAAAAAGTCCCAAATCCAGTCACACAGTAGGAGGCACATATGCAAACTGTTGTAATTCCTACACCGTTCACCTGATTTGGATGTAAATACCCTCAAATGAAAGCTGACAGTCTGCAGTTAAAGCACATCTTCATTTCATTTCAAATCCATTGTGGTGTATAGAGCCAAAAATGTTAGAATTGTGTCAATGTCCCAATATTTATGGACCTGACTGTATATTCTATGTGAGCTCGCCAGTTCTCATTGTAGCCACTAGAGGGCAGTCACGCTCCATGCTTTGCAATGTGGCGGCTATGGATGAATTCATGAGAAATCTTCTAGAACAAGCTATAGGCTGAGCGCAAAAGATTTATGTGTAGGTATATAATATACAGTTGCAAGAAAAAGTATGTGAACCCCTTGGGATTACGTGGAGTTTTGCATGAATTGGTCATAAAATGTGCTCTGAACGTCATCTAAGTCACAACAATAGAAGAACACAGTCTGCTGAACATAATACTACACAAACATTAGATGTTGCCATGGTTTAATTGCACACAACATGTAAACATTCACAGTGCAGGGAGGAAAAAGTATGTGAGGCCCTAGCTTAAAGACTTCTCCCAGAGCTAATTGGAGCCAGGAGTGAGCCAACCTTGACTCCAATCAGTGTGATGATATTGGATGTGTTGCTGACAGCTGTCCTGCCCTTAAAAAACACACACCTGTTTTGGTTTTACTGGTTTCAAGAAGCACTGTCTGATGTGAACCATGCTTCGCAGAAAAGAGCTCTCAGAAGACCTACGATCAAGAATTGTTGACTTGCATGAAGCTGGAAAGGGTTACAAAAGTATCTCCTTGAGCCTTGATGTTCATGTGTCCACGGTAAGACAGACTGTCTACAAATGGAGAAAGTTTCGCACTGTTGCTACTCTCCCTAGGCGTGGTCGTCCTGTAAAAATGATTGCAAGAGCACAGCGCAGAATGCTGCATGAGGTAAAGAAGAATCCCAGAGTGTCAGCTAAAGACCTACAGAAATCTCTGGCACATGCTAACATTTTTGTTGACACATCTACAATAAGGAAAACATGAAACAAGAATGGAGTACATGGGAGGACACCACGGAGGAAGCCATTGCTGTCCAAAAAGAATATTGCAGCATGTTTGAAGTTTGCAAAAGAGCACCTGGATGTTCCACAGCACTACTGGCAGAATATACTGTGGACAGATGACACCAAGATTGAGTTGTTTGGGAAGAACACACAACACTATGTGTGGAGAAAAAAAGGCCCAGCACACCAACATCAAAACCTCATCCCCACTGTAAAACATGGCGGAGGGAGCATCATGGTTTGGGGCTGCTTTGCTGCCTCAGGGCCTGGACGGATTGTTGTCATTGATGGGAAAATGAATTCCAGAGTTTATCAAGACATTTTGCAGGAAAACGTACGACCATCTGTCCGCCAACTGAAGCTCCGCAGAGGATGGGTGATGCAACAGGACAATGACCCAAAGCATACAAGTAATTCAACAAAACAATGGCTGCAACAGCACAGAATACGCCTTCTGGAGTGGCCCAGTCAGAGTCCTGACCTCAACCCCATTGAAATGCTGTGGCATGACCTTAAGAGAGCGATTCACACCAGACATCCCAAGAATATTGCTACACTGAAACAGTTTTGTGAAGAGGAGTGGTCCAAAATTACTCCAGATCGTTGTGCAGGTCTGATCTACAACTACAGGAAACGTTTGGTTGAGGTTATTGCTGCCAAAGGAGGGTCAACCAGTTATTAAGTCCAAAGGTTCACATACATTTTCCTCCCTGCACTGTGAATGTTTACATGTTATGTGCAGTTAAACCATGGCAACATCTAATGTTTGTGTAGTATTATGTTCAGCAGACTGTGTTCTTCTATTGTTGTGACTTAGATGACGTTCAGAGCACATTTTATGCCCAATTCATGCAAAACTCCACGTAATCCCAAGGGGTTCACATACTTTTTCTTGCAACTGTATATATATAAAAGGGGGGGGGGGGGGGGAATATATATACTCACACACACAGGACAAAAATAAAATCAATAAAAAATTGGCAGTGTAAGTGATGTAACATTCTTTTGCTTCCGCTGTGTGATGAGACACCTAGCTATCAGATGGGGGAGCCTCACTTTCCTCATTCAGTACATGTGCTGCTAGTAATACGGAGTCATACAGAGCTTCAAAGAGGGAAAATTGTTGGTGCCGTTTAGCTGGCGCCTCTGCGACTGAAGTTGGCGATTTTTTTTGTATCGCGAGGTACGGTATCAAACGTCATGGCGGTGTATACAGTTTCCGGGGAAAATGTCATCTGATAAGGATAAGCGCGGTCGGCGAGGTCAACTGATCAAATGAGACAAAAAAGCATTGCGCAGGATTTTGTTCCGGAATCAGAAAACAACAGATGTGACTGCAGAGCTCAATCTCAGTCCCCTGAAGGCGGAGTCTCTAGTATTAGTAAATGGATAGGTTGGTGTGTTATATTTACTTGTTTTATACTTTTTATTTTTTACGTTTCTTAAGTTATTTCCTGGTTTCTGGCCTAGGCCAAAATGATGTCATGCATCCCAGGAGTCTTCATGGGAGGAGGGAGGGAGGGGCTTTCTCAGCTAACCACACCCTCATGCCTGCATGCCTGAGCTAAGGGCTGATGGATTCCAGGAAGTACAAGACTGAAGGGGAGGAGCCGGTACACCTGTGCAAAACTGAAGGGGAGGAGCCGATACACCTGTGCAAGAGTGAAGGGGAGGAGCCGGTACACCTGTGCAAGACTGAAGGGGAGGAGCCGATACACCTGTGCAAGACTGAAGGGGAGGAGCTGGTACACCTGTGCAAGACTGAAGTTTTCTCTGAGCATTGTACTCTACAGTGTGGATGGGGGGATGGGGAAGAGGGGAGGCACCCCGGACCCCGGACCCCACTGCAAGAGTATTTTTTTGCTTTATCACCAAAGCCGTGAGAACAACAACCCTTTGTGAGGACAGACAGTGTGCACATCTCACTTCCGGGCTCCATGAATTCGCTTTGCGGGGGCCAGCTAAAAAAGGAGCCAGGTTTTTTTTTTTTTTAAACTAACAAAGTTTTATTTCCTGTTCTGGGTATAAAATGGCAGAATAAAATCAAATCTATAGACGACATATTCCTACCCTGCGGGCCCCATGAGGCGGGCAATGCTTCTCACTGGTGATGTCACACTATATTACCGCAAAAGGCTGGGAAATGCAAAACATCAGTAAAAAACACACCAAAGGTAATCTTAGAGCACAGAAATGCAACAAATTACCCACATTTTTGGTAAAATATCAGGCTCCACGCACACTGGGGGGGGGGGGCACGTTTTAATAACGCTGGTAACGTTAGCTGTGTAAAGTCACATTAAAAACTCAAATTTTTTAGCAGTTTTGTATAAGCATTTAGCCGCAGTTTTTTCCACGTTTGCGGTTTTAAAAAAAAATGTTTTTTGGTCAAAAAATAAAAAAATGCTGATTCACCGCGATTTACTGTGGTTCACTGCGTTTTTCAGCGTTAGAACATTTTTGCAGCGAAAAATCTCCTCTAGACACCCACTAGTTCTGTTTTTTTTTCCAGCCAGGAAATGTTGATTCCAGTCTCTGTGTATATGGACACCGAGGATAACATGCTGAGGGGTTTACTGGCTGTAGAAAATAAAAACTTCAAAAGCAGCCGCTGTAAAAAACGTCCCGTGTGCGTGCGTGAGGACTAAAAGAGGAGTAAATAGATACCAACATGTCAAACCTTCAATTTGTGTGCCCCCGTGAAATGACGACAAACTTCAGTACCCCTATATGTTCCATAGGTGGCGCTTTCAAAGCCCCCTACAGGTCATCAGTTTGGTGTTTCGGAGGAAGTCTGGTGCTGGAATGATTGCTCTCACTCCGGCGTGTGCGGCGATGTGTAACGTGAATTGCAATGGACGTTTTTACACGTAGGTGCTCTAACACGTGCTTTTACGTTCGTATGTATACATAGGGGGGTGGGGGGCATCAACAATTTCTCTTTTGGGGGGGGGGGGAATTTCACGTGCTTGGGTGTAACTGTAATTTTTTACAATTATTATTATTTATTTACTTTTTAAATGAAAACAACATTTTTTTTTTTCATCAAATAGGGGACAACAATGGGGGGGAGGGGGGGGGGGGGGGGGGGGGGGGTGGCATCAAAAATGTCTCTTTTTTTGGGGGGGGGGGGGGGGCAAGGATTTCATGTGCTTGGGTGTAACTGTATTTTTTTTTACAATCATTATAATTTTTTTTAATTTTTACAATGAAAACACAATTTTTTTTTTCATCAAACGGGACAACAATAAGGGGGGGGGGGGGGGATTGCATGTGCTTGGGTGTAACTGTATTTTAAATTTTTTTTCTTTTATAATTTAAAAAAAAAAACCAAAACTTTTTTTCTTCATCAAATAGGGGACAATAAGTCCCTTATGTGATGATTTTTGTGGTGATAGGTTCTCTTTAATGGGATTTGTCGAGCTACAGGATGGCTACAGCGTGATTGTCTATTTCTGGGACGACGTCCATGGATGTCATTCCAGAACACGCCCCCAGCACCAGAACCGGCAATTGTCAGCAAAGGGATCAGCACTGATGGTCAGTGCCCTGATGATCAGTGGCCAGCAGTGACACCCACCTGTGCCCATCAGTGACGCCCACCTGTACCCATCAGTGTCACCCATCAGTGCCCTGCAGTGCTACCTGTGACGGGCGCGGTGTCAGACCCCAGACCTTCTCACCAAACTCGTCACCGAAGGACTAGCCAATCTAAAACCACGCTGTCACGTGCGTAACAATGCCACGCCCAGCTGCACCCTACACAACGATTTCCAGCTAATTGGACCACAATCTATGTACCGGCAGCCTGAGAGCGATTGTTATTGGGTCAGGTTAATTACACAATTATCCCTTCACACTGCCACCACCTCCTTTTTATACAGAGAAAGAGGAAACTCAGCAATACACTAGGATGATTGGTTGATCGACAGTATACCGCTATCTCTACAGACCGGTTATACAGAGGGTTAACCACTTGCCTACCAGGCACTTATACCCCCCCTTCCTTACCAGGCCAATTTTCAGCTTTCAGCGCTGCCGCACTTTGATTGACAATTGCGCGGTCATGCAACATTGTACCCATATGAAATTTTGATCATTTTTTTCTCACAAATAGAGCTTTCTTTTGGTGGTATTTAATCGCCATTGGGCGCTTTACTTTTTGCGCTATATAAATTAAAAAAAGTGCAAAAAATTTGAAAAAAAAAAAAAAAAAGTTTATTTGTTTCTTTTATAAAATTTTTCAAACAGGTATTTTTTCTCCTTCACTGATTTGCGTTGATGAGGCGGCACTGATGGCCACTGATAGGCGGCACTGATGGGCACTGATAGGCAGCACTAAAGGGCACTGATAGGCAGTACTAATGAGGTGGCACGGATAGGCGGCACTAATAGACAGCACTAATTAGGGGTCACGGATAGGCGGCACTGATATGCAGCACTGATAGGCGGCACTGATAGGTGACACTGATGATGGGTACTGATAGACGGCACTGACTGGCATCACTTCTGGGCACTGACTGGCGGCACTGACTGGCACAACCCCTGGGCACTGACTGGTGGCACTGACTGGGAGCACTGCTGGGCTGCACTGGTGGGTGGCACTGGTGGGCAGCACTGGTGGGTGGGCACAGATGGGTGGCACTGGTGGGCACAGGTGGGTGGCACTGGTGGGCACAGGTGGGTGGGCACAGGTGGGTGGCACTGCTGGGCACATGTAGGTGGCACTTCTGGGCGCAGGTAGGTGGCACTGCAGAGTGGCACAGGTGGGTGCACTGCTGGGCACAGGTGGGGGCACTGCTGGGAACGGGTGGGCGGGGCTAGTGGGCGCACTGCTGGGCGGAACTTGCGGGTGTCACTGCTGGGCACCGATCATCAGGGCACTGATCATCAGTGCCCTGATGATCGGTGCCGATCCCCGCTCTGACAACTGCCGGTTCTCGGCAGTACTTTCCTCACGATCTGACAGCGTGAGGAAAGTGCAGCCGAGAACCGGCACTTGCATTTCCCTGTGATCAGCGTGTCATTGGACACCGCTGATCACGTGGTAAAAGGCCGGTGGGATCGGCCTTTCACCACATCACGTGATCAGCTGTGTCCGTAGGACACAGCGATCACGGAGATCGCCGGGGTGCGCGCCCCCTGGGGCGCGCAGGAGAGCGCGTTCTGGGAGGACGTCATATGATGTCCACTCAGAACTGGCCGGCCCGCGGTGAAGCCGTCATTCGGCTATGCGCGGTCGGCAAGAGGTTAAACACTCATAGTAGCGCTCTTCAGAGGCAGGATTCGTAAGTCACATTCAGGAGCTATAGAAACAGTTCAACACTTTTAGAAAGTAAGATTTATTACTAAAAGGTCAAAAGGGTGCAGTAGAAATATTTACAGAAAGAAGATGTAACCAATATATATATATAAATATACAGCGCACAACAGCACAGCAAACGGATAACAGAAAGAAGTTTAGGTAAATAAGTACTTGGCAAATAAATGCCTGGGGTTAAGCAGTTTCAAGTCTGATGAGCTAAAAAGGGATTTCTGGTCTTGCACTGGGTTTCGTTGTTGCAAAGCGAGATTCTCCTTTGCTTTCTGTCTGTTAGATGTTATATCTCAGACGGTCCTCACTGCTCTGACTACACACAAAACATAACAGCTTCTTTTTCTACACAAAATCAACTGGTATCTCTTCACTACCTTATTTGGCAAGAAGATTGTTTAAACAGCTACACTGAATGCATTCCTGAGGGAGGGGTGGAATGAGGGGATACAGAAACTTCTTAATACAGGGAGAGCCTGTGCCTGGCTCTTGTATGCACAACACTACACCTCCCCCCCCCCAGGTGATGGCATATGAGCCTTTTAAGAGCAATACCAAAATGTAGAAGTTTGGGGTAAAATGGAGAACCGCACCTCTCCCTGTGGTCATGATTGTGACACCACCCACCTGTGCCCATCAGTGCTGCCCACCAGTGCCTGCAGTGCCACCCACCTGTACCCATCAGTGTCGCCCACCGGTGCCCTGCAGTGCCACGCACCTGTACCCATCAGTGTCACCCACTGGTGCCATGCAGTGCTGCTCATCAGTGCCGCCTATCAGTGCAGCATCATCCATTCCAGCTCATCAATGGTAGGCAGGAAGGGGCTAGAAGTTCCTCGGAGGCAGGAAGGGGGTAGATGTGCCCGGTGGGCAGGAAGGGGGTAGAAGTGCCCAGTAGGCAGGAATGGGGTAGAAGTGACCGGTGGGCAGGAAGGGGGTAGAAGTGCCCGGTAGGCAGGAAGGGGGTAAAAAAGTGCCCGGTAGGCAGGAATGGGGTAGAAGTGCCCTGTAGGCAGGAAGGGGGTAGAAGTGCCCTGTAGGCAGGAAGGGGGTAGAAATGCCCAGGAGGCAGGAAGGGGGTAGAAGTGCCCTGTAGGCAGGAAGGGGGTAGAAGTGCCCTGTAGGCAGGGAGGGGGTAGAAGTGCCCTGTAGGCAGGAAGGGGGTAGAAGTTCCCGGTAGGCAGGAAGGGGGTAGAAGTGCCCTGTAGGCAGGAAGGGGGTAGAAGTGCCCTGTAGGCAGGAGGGGGGGGTAGAAGTGCCCTGTAGGCAGGAAGGGGGTAGAAGTTCCCGGTAGGCAGGAAGGGGGGTAGAAGTGCCCTGTAGGCAGGAAGGGGGTAGAAGTGCCCGGTAGGCAGGAAGGGGGTAGAAGTGCCCAGGAGGTAGGAAGGGGGTAGAAGTGCTCGGTAGGCAGGAAGGGGATAGAAGTGCCCGGGAGGCAGGAAGGGGTAGTAGAAGTGCTCGGTAGGCAGGAAGGGGGTAGACGTGCCCGGTAGGCAGGAAGGGGGTAGAAGTGCCGGTAGGCAGGAAGGGGGTAGAAGTGCCCGGGAGGCAGGAAGGAAGGGGTAGAAGTGTCGGTAGGCAGGAAGGGGGTAGAAGTGCCCGGTAGGCAGGAAGGGGTAGAAGTGCTCGGTAGGCAGGAAAGGGGGTAAAAGTGCCCGGTGGGCAGGAAGGGAGTAAAAGTGCCCATTAGGCAGGAAGGGGGTAGAAGTGCCCTGTAGGCAGGAAGGGGGTAGACGTGCCCGGGAGGCAGGACGGGGGTAGAAGTGTCCGGTAGGCAGGAAGGGGGTAGAAGTGCCCGGGAGGCAGGAAGGGGGTAGAAGTGTCCGGTAGGCAGGAAGGGGGTAGAAGTGTGCCCGGTAGGCAGGAAGGGGGTAGAAGTGTCCGGTAGGCAAGTGGTTAACTGGTTGAGATCTGCCAGCACAGCGCGCAGACAGGGTTAATTATGGTAAACAGTCACACCCCAGCCCCTCCCTAATGTTACATGGAAGGGAAATGATCATTGAGATTTTTAAACCTGTAAAAAGGCAATTTTTCAATTATTTTTCTGGATGTTTTGCTGTCTAAATGGGAACATGGTACATAAATAAAGTCAATGTTACCCCAATTTGGCTGCAAAAGTGGAAATCCCCTTTAAATTCGGTCACTCTGGTGTCTGGAGCCGACGAGGACGGCTCAGCAGAATCGCCTCACAGGTATGTTATCTGAGAGGCGATGAAGTTGGGATTTAATATCCGATAAACTTTGTGCTCCAGTTATTAAATATTGGAGGTCCCGGGGGGGGGCGCTGTGACGGAGGAGGAAGAGTCAGCTGTCAGTTCTCTAGTTCAGGTTAGAAAATCCAATAAGACGTTTTTTATAGCAATACTTTCACTATTAATGTCCTGCCTCGCTGTGTGGTCTGATCACAGATCTGCAGAGCCCTGCCCCCCTGCTGGACACGGTTAGTATCAGACTTTCCTGTACTGTTTATATCTGGTTTTAGTCGTATATTTCCCCTCGATCCCTGGGGGCATCGATCAGGACTCTATAGAGATTCTGGGATATGAAAGAATGTCAATTAAAATGGGTTTTAGGTAAACTCCAGCTCAAACTTTTTTTTTCTTTTTTTTTTAAATGGTGTTGTCAGGTTTTTATTGTTGTGTTCCATTAAGGAAAAGACAGGTCATATATCTCCAGTGGGGACAACTGACAGGAGATGGAGAGATACAAAGTAACATTGTTTATAAACATCAATCAGACGGGAGATAGAGAGATACAAAGTAACATTGTTTATAAACATCAATCTGACGGGAGAAAGAGAGATACAAAGTAACATTGTTTATAAACATCAATCAGACGGGAGATAGAGAGATACAAAGTAACATTGTTTATAAACATCAATCTGACGGGAGAAAGAGAGATACAAAGTAACATTGTTTATAAACATCGATCAGACGGGAGATGGAGAGATACAAAGTAACATTATTATTATTATACAGGATTTATGGCGCCGACAGTTTGCTCAGCGCTTTACAATATAAAGGGAGACAATACAGCAACAATCCAGGTCAATACAAGAGGGTTAGGAGGGCCCTGATCCTGGGAGCTTACAATCTAAGAGGGAGGGGCTAGTGGTACAAAAGGTAGTAACTGTGGGGGATGGACTGGTAGGAGGAGTAGAAGATTCCAGTATTAGCTGAGGGCAGGATAGGCTTCCCTGAAGAGATCAGTTTTCAGAGATCGCCTAAAAGTGAGCAGAGCAGGCAATAGTCTGATAAACTGGGGTAGAGAGTTCCAGAGGATGGGGGAAACTCTGGAGAAGTCTTGGAGATGAGCATGGGAGGAGGAGACAAGGGAGCTAGAGAGTAGGAGGTCTTGCAAGGAGCGGAGAGTAAGGTTTGGGTGATATTTAGAGCCAAGATCGGTGATTTAATTTGGGGTGGAGTTATAAATGGCTTTATATGTCAGTGTTAGTGTTTTTAATTTTATCCGTTGGGCAATGGGAAGCCAGTGGAGGGATTGGCAGAGAGGGGTGGAGGCCAGTGGAGGGATTGGCAGAGAGGGGTGGAGGACACTGAGTGGACGCCAGTGGAGGAATTGGCAGAGAGGGGTGGAGGACACTGAATGGAGGCCAGTGGAGGGATTGGCAGAGAGGGGTGGAGGACACTGAATGGAAGCCAGTGGAGGGATTGGCAGAGAGGGGTGGAGGACACAGAACGGTTAGTAAGGTGGATGAGTCTGGCAGCAGCATTCATGATAGACTGAAGAGGGGATAGCCTGCGATGAGGTCGGCCAATAAGGAGGGAGTTACAATGGTTGAGGCGTGATATAACAAGGGAGTGAATAAGTTGCTTGGTGGTTTCCGGGGTTAGGAACGGCCGTATCTTGGAGATGTTGCGGAGGTGAAGTCTACATGATTTTGTCAGTGATTGGATTTGGGGCTGAAAGGACAGATGGGAGTCTAGGATTACTTCTAGTACCCTGGCATGAGGGGAGGGACTGATGGTTGTATTATTGATCTTGATGGAGAAGTGGGGGGGCACGGGCTGGGGGGAATACTAAGAGCTCAGTTTTGGAAGATTGAGTTTGAGGAAGTGGAGTGACCTCCAGTCCAATATGTCACTTAGTAGGTTAGTAATGCGAGAGGAGACTGAAGGGGTGAGGTGAGGAGGAGACTGAAGGGGTGAGGTGGAGACTGAAGGGGTGAGGTGAGGGGTAGAAAGATGGATTTGTGTGTCATCAGCATAGAGATGGTAATTGAAGCTGTGGGAGTTTATCAGTTGACCAAGGGAGGAGGTGTAGATGGAGAAGATAAGGGGTCCAAGGACAGAACCTTGAGGGACCCCTATGGAGAGAGGGAGTGAAGAGAAGGTGGCAGCGTTATAGGTAATACTGAAGGAGCACTGCGATAGGTAGGAGGAGAACCAGGAGAGAGCGGAGTCTCTGAGGCCAAGAGAGTGGAGTTTTTTGAGGAGGAGGGGATGGCCAACCGTATCAAAAGCCGCAGAGAGGTCAAGTAGTAAGAGTATATAGTAGTGGCCATTGGTTGGGATGAGTACAGAGTAGTGGCCATTGGTTGGGATGAGTATGGAGTAGTGGCCATTGGTTAAGATGAGTACGGAGTAGTGGCCAATGGTTGGGATGAGTACGCAGTAGTGGCCATTGGTTGGGAGGAGTACGGAGTAGTGGCCATTGGTTGGGATGAGTACGGAGTAGTGGCCATTGGTTGGGATGAGTACGGAGTAGTGGCCATTGGTTGGGATGAGTACGGAGTAGTGGCCATTGGTTGGGAGGAGTACGGAGTAGTGGCCATTGGTTGGGAGGAGTACGGAGTAGTGGCCATTGGTTGGGATGAGTACGGAGTAGTGGCCATTGGTTGGGAGGAGTACGGAGTAGTGGCCATTGGTTGGGATGAGTACGGAGTAGTGGCCATTGGTTGGCATGAGTACGGAGTAGTGGCCATTGGTTGGCATGAGTACGGAGTAGTGGCCATTGATTGGCATGAGTACGGAGTAGTGGCCATTGGTTGGGATGAGTACGGAGTAGTGGCCATTGGTTGGGAGGAGTACGGAGTAGTGGCCATTGGTTGGGATGAGTACGGAGTAGTTGCCATTGGTTGGGATGAGTACGGAGTAGTGGCCATTGGTTGGGATGAGTACGGAGTAGTGGCCATTGGTTGGGATGAGTACGGAGTAGTGGCCATTGGTTGGGATGAGTACGGAGTAGTGGCCATTGGTTGGGATGAGTACGGAGTAGTGGCCATTGGTTGGGATGAGTACGGAGTAGTGGCCATTGGTTGGGATGAATACGGTGTAATGGCCATTGGTAGGGAGGAGTATGGAGTAGTGGCCATTGGTTGGGATGAGTATGGAGTAGTGGCCATTGGTTGGGATGGGTATGAGTAGTGGCCATTGGTTTTAGCAGTTAGTAGATCATTAGTGAGGTTTAGTAGGGCAGTTCAGTGGAGTGTAGTAAGCGAAAGCCAGACTGTAAAGGGTCAAAAAGGTTGTTGTCGGTGAGGGAGGAGCTCAGGCGATTGTAGACTAAGCGTTCTAGGAGTTTAGAGGTAAATGGCAGCAGGGAGATGGGTCTTAAGTTGTTCAGGTTGGTGGGGTCCAGGGAGGGCTTTTTAAGTATGGGAGCGATGTGCGCATGCTTTAGAGGGGAGGGGAAGGCACCAGTAGAGAGGGAGAGATTGAAGATGTGAGTGAGGGAACATAGGATGGAAGAAGAGGGTGACCGTAGTAGTTGTGAGGGGACAGGATCCAGGGGGCAGGTAGTGAGACGGGCTTCAGAGAAAACCTTAGTGACCTCTTCGGTAGTAGCGAGGTCAAGAGGAAAGTGTTGAGGGAGGTTTAGTATAAGGTATGCTAAGTAAGGTGGATGTCTGTGCAGTGGAGATGCCCTACGAATTGCGTCAATCTTGTTTTTGAAGTGATTTGCAATCTCGTGAGCAGTGAGTGAGGTACTGGGTGGAGGTGGAGAAAGTAGAGTGTTAAAAGTAGAGAAGAGACCATGAGGACTGGAAGCGAAGGTATTAATAAGAATGACAAAGTCGTCTTGTTTGGCAGCATGGAGGGAGGAATTGTATGTGAATAAAGCAGATTTATATCGGGTGAATGCTTGGTGAGATTTGGTTTTATGCCACAATCACTCCAGCGCACAACTATGTCGTTTAGGATTTCTGGTGTGGTCAGTCTGCCAAGGTTTGTAACGGTCGGGGCCTGATGCTTTGTGTTGTTAGGGGAGCAAGCGAGTCTAATGTGGATGAAAGTGAATTGTTGTAGACAGCAGTGGCCAGGTCAGGGCAGGACAGGGGAGAGATTCTGTCATAGAGTTGGTCAGTTGCAGAGTGGAAGGGAGCCGGGTTCAAATTGCGGAGGTTTCTGCTGGTGATTGTTTGCTGCTTGGAGGGATAGGTGTTTGAGGACCAGGACACTGTGAAGGTGATGAGATTGTAATCAGAGAGAGGAAAGGGGGTGTTTGTGAGGTTGTAGGGAGTGCAAATATGGGAGAAAACAAGGTCTAATGTATTCCCGTTGGAGGGAGTGGAGGATGGTATACATTGTGCTAATGCAAAAGATGAGGTTATGTTGAAGAGTTGGGATGTAGCCGGATTATTGACATTAGTAGGGATGTTAAAGTCATTGTTTATAAACATCGATCAGACGGGAGATAGAGAGATACAAAGTAACATTGTTTATAAACATCGATCAGACGGGGATAGAGAGATACAATGCAACATTGTTTATAAACATCGATCAGACGGGAGATAGAGAGATACAATGCAACATTGTTTATAAACATCGATCAGACAGGGATAGAGAGATACAAAGTAACATTGTTTATAAACATCGATCAGACAGGGATAGAGAGATACAAAGTAACATTGTTTATAAACATCGATCAGACAGGGATAGAGAGATACAAAGTAACATTGTTTATAAGCATCGATCAGACGGGGATAGAGAGATACAATGCAACATTGTTTATAAACATCGATCAGACGGGAGATGGAGAGATACAAAGTAACATTGCTTATAAACATCGATCAGACGGGAGATGGAGAGATACAAAGTAACATTGCTTATAAACTTCGATCAGACGGGAGATAGAGAGACACAAAGCAACATTGTTTATAAACATCGATCAGACGGGAGATGGAGAGATACAAAGTAACATTGTTTATAAACATCCATCAGACGGGAGATGGAAAGATACAAAGTAACATTGTTTATAAACATTGATCAGATGGGAGATTGATAGATACAAAGTAACATTGCTTATAAACATCGATCAGACGGGAGATGGAGAGATACAAAGTAACATTGCTTATAAACTTCGATCAGACGGGAGATAGAGAGACACAAAGCAACATTGTTTATAAACATCGATCAGACGGGAGATGGAGAGATACAAAGTAACATTGTTTATAAACATCCATCAGACGGGAGATGGAAAGAATACAAAGTAACATTGTTTATAAACATCGATCAGATGGGAGATTGATAGATACAAAGTAACATTGCTTATAAACATCGATCAGACGGGGATAGAGAGATACAAAGCAACATTGTTTATAAACATCGATCAGACGGGAGATGGAGAGATACAAAGTAACATTGTTTTATAAACATTGATCAGATGGGAGATTGATAGATACAAAGTAACATTGTTTATAAACTTCGATCAGACGGGAGATAGAGAGATACAAAGTAACATTGTTTATAAACATCGATCAGACGGGAGATGGAAAGATACAAAGTAACATTGTTTATAAACATTGATCAGACGGGAGATTGATAGATACAAAGTAACATTGTTTTATAAACATCGATCAGACGAGAGATTGATAGATACAAAGTAACATTGTTTACAAACATCCATCAGACGGGAGATCGAGAGATACAAAGTAACATTGTTTATAAACATCCATCAGACGGGGGATGGAGAGATACAAAGTAACATTGTTTATAAACATCGATCAGATGGGAGATAGAGATACAAAGTAACATTGTTTATAAACATCGATCAGATGGGAGATAGAGATACAAAGTAACATTGTTTATAAACATCGATCAGATGGGAGATAGAGATACAAAGTAACATTGTTTATAAACATCGATCAGATGGGAGATGGAGAGATACAAAGTAACATTGTTTATAAACATCCATCAGACGGGGAATGGAGAGATACAAAGTAACATTGTTTATAAACATCGATCAGACGGGAGATAGAGATACAAAGTAACATTGTTTATAAACATCCATCAGACGGGAGATGGAGAGATACAAAGTAACATTGTTTATAAACATCGATCAGATGGGAGATGGAGAGATACAAAGTAACATTGTTTATAAACATCGATCAGTGGAGGAGATAGAGAGATACAAAGTAACATTGTTTATAAACATCCATCAGACGGGAGATAGAGAGATACAAAGTAACATTGTTTATAAACATCGATCAGATGGGAGATAGAGAGATACAAAGTAACATTGTTTATAAACATCGATCAGATGGGAGATAGAGATACAAAGTAACATTGTTTATAAACATCGATCAGATGGGAGATAGAGAGATACAAAGTAACATTGTTTGTAAAACATTTTTTCCTTTGGATTGTGTAAAAAATGTAATGCTTCCCGACCGCCCTATAGCAGAAGTACTGCTACAGGGATGTGCAAAATCATATATATATGCAAGCAAGCGCGCCCTGCCTGTATCGCTATTGGCTCCTCGGCATGTCAGTCACTGGGTCCCGGCCGCCGATTTTCTGCCAGGACTTGGTGATCGTCAGCTGAGCTGACAGGGGAGAGACCTGTGTGTAAACAATACAAATCTCTCCCGTCAGCACTGACATGCTGCTTTGTATTGCTCTGCAAAGCACAGCAATGAAAAGCAGCATGTTTACATAGTAAAACACCACACAGCACACAGTTAACCCTTTGATTGCCCCAGATGTTAACCCCTTCCTGCCCAGTGCCATTAGTACAGTGTCAGTGCTTTTTATTAACCCTGATCACTTTATTGGTGTCACTGAGGATGTCAGTGGCAGTTAGTCAGTTCCCCTCCAGTGTCAAAATACCCGCCGCAGTCCCGCTATAAGTCGCTGATCGCCGCCATTACTAGTACAAAAAAATAAAAATAAATCCCCGTATATATCCCACCATTTGTAAACTTTCATATGAACCAATTAATTTACACGTATTGGGATTAAATCCTCTGGAGGGTGAGGGGTTAAATAATCTGGAGACACTCTAACCAATTTGGGGGGTGGTAATGGGGGGAGAGCTGAACTGGTTAAATTTCTGTTTGACTTCAGTCTCGTCCTTTAATGCATTTCTCGATAAACGTCAATTAGAGGATGATATTCGTTTTATGATCTGCTTAGAACAGATTTGTATCCATAAAAGCCGGGCGATCTCTGGAGGATTGCTCAGTGTGTGCTTTACCAGACTCAGCTCATTAACGTCACATTTCCCTGATAGAAGGAATATTCTAATGATAACACTTTTCTCAGATGAGATCTATGACGGCGGACTTGTCAGTAAGGTAAGTTGTTAATCAAGGAATTTAGCTGATGGAAGATAGATGGAGATGCATTGTGTGTCATGGCTGGTTGATTTTTGGAAACGGCAGCAGCGTAACATTGCCAAAGAAAATGCAAGTCGGCTTTTCTATTACAGATAAAATTAGCCCTACGCTGGCGAGTCTCACAAAACCGTTCGCACTCCGGCGTGTTCCGGCATCTTCTAAGTCGCACTCTCCTGGGGCGCAGACCAGTGGGCTCGGTCTTTACGGAGTAGTGGAAGAAATAATGTGTGTGTGCGTTGCGCTGTTGGTGGAAAATGGTGAAGGGAATCTAGATTGACTTCAAACTGTGTGTGCAAATTGGGAGACGTGCGAGTGATACTTTAGCTCTGTTATATCAAACCTATGATGACCATTCCATGAAGAAATCAAGTGTTTTTGGGAGTTTAAGGAGGGGCGGGAAGATGTTCACGATGACGCAAGCAGTGGGCAGCCAAAAACACAAAGGATGGATGCAAATGTGGAAAACGATGGGAACTCTGGCCTGACAAGTGGATTCCCCACCACGACAATGCTCCTGCACATGTTGCATTAAGCTCGGGGCGGTGCGATGCATCGCATGTAATTTGCACGGGAACCGCACCGCATTCCTGTACATTTTGTATGGCTAAAATCGCACCACATCCGCAGAAAATAGGTGCAGGACCCTTTTTTCTGTCCGCAATTGGATCGCATGGGTATTCACACCTATGGGATCCGATTCTGCACATCGCACCGCATTTTGCGAACTGATTTCAGGGTGTTGTTAACATACACACCCGCAGTGGTTCGCATGAACGGGGGTGCGATTCTGATGTGGTGCACAGAAACCGGTGTGAGTTCTGCAATGCATCAGTCTGAACCTGGGATCAGTGTTTCCTAAAGCTGTAAAAACAATAATTTCTCCTTCTCTCTGGCTGCATTCTTGCAGCCATTGAGAAATACTGTGTGAGCTGTGATTGGTCACAGCTTGTCACATGGTACAAGGCTGTTGTGAATGGCCCTGTACCATGTGATCTCTGTGATCATTCACAGATTTCACATGTAGTAAGCAAAGATGTCAGGAAGTGACATCTTGCTTACTATTCTTCATGTGATCACTGATTGGCCAATCAGTGATCACATGATCGGGACCTCACACAGAGGTACCGTAC